TGACATACCATGTTAATACATGATATTTTATATGATATATAACATGTTATATTTCAAAATAACTTGCTATAGCATACAAAAATATGATGTTTATAATAATAATGTGGCATACCATGTTAATATATGATATTTTGTATGATATATAAAATGTTATATCATGTAAATATCTAGTATATATAGCAGATTATACTACATTTTATTTTTATATTATATCAATAGTTTGAACAGTCACAAATATAATAAAATATAAACATCAATATATATATATATATAGTATGTCATTTATATGATTACGTTTCATTATAACATTATATAAATATTTTGTGTAATATATGTCAATTTCTAAAATTTCAAATTGTAACATATGTAGAAAAAAGATCTTGTTTTTTTTTATGTATATAGATGATACAATAATTTATTTAAACAAAATATTATAACAAACAAGAAATAGATGGGAGAAAAAAAGTGATGAAAGATAAATGATTAAAAAGAAAAAAAAATGTCAGTTTCACATGATACTTTACTCTGACACAATGTGACACAGTTTTTTTGTGTCACAGCATTAGATCATAGGGGTAAAAATGTCATTTAACATACCATACACTTAATATTTTTGAAAACAAACTACATTGCTAAGTACCTTACATTAGCATGTTATATCTTGCTATTTCTCTTAATTTAAGTCATGTCATCTTTTTTGACAAACCATGTTATCTTTTTGAACCATTGAAATTAGAACAAGTAAGCAAATTTAATAAATCTACTTCTCTTTTAAAAGGAAGGAGATCCCAATTGGTCCACTAGAATTATTAATTAAAAAAAATTATTAGGAAATATCATTTATATATAAGAAAATAACAATGCATAATAGAAATATATTCAATTAAATTGATGGATTATGTTAAACTTATCATTACATTTATATTTATGCACTAATTAATTTAACATGCTATTTCTTACAAAAATAAAATTCTTTTAATCATTTTTGTTGGACTTAAATAACATTTTAATTTACTTTTATTGAACCTTGGCTCTTATACCATTTATTGGAGTTTTTTAAATCCATGTCCAACTCCCCTATTAGTATGATATATTGTTCGCTTTGAGTCAAGAGACAAAACCCGCACCGATTTGTTCTTGTGCTCCTTCCCAAAATGTCTCATACTAATTGAAGTTGGACATTACTTATGAAATTTTTTTTTAAAATGCCACTTTTCAATTATTACTTTACAAAAATACCACAATTTTGAAATCTTTAAAACATGCCACTTTTTCAAAATTATATTTTCTTTATATTATTTATGTTTGAGTTAATTATGTTCTATTATGATTTAGTTATGAGGGTTTATGGAGGTTTTAGGGGACAAAACATTTTTTAGGATTTAGAATTTTAAGATATATGTTTTATAAATCTATAATTAGTGGCATTTTTGCAAATGGATAACTAATGATATTCTTGCAAATGTGCATATAAAAAGTAATATTTTTGTAATTGTTCCTTACTTGTATACTAAGTAATTCATATATAAACTTTGAATGTGGGACTTGGATTGATATCCCAACATTTTAAATATTATCAATCAGAATCATCTCTAAATAACTCCTTTTTCTCATACG